CATTGACTTGGCTTGTCAGAAGGTCACAACAGTTGATCACTTAACTCCGGGAAACGCAACCATCATAAATATGAGTCAGTTGCCAAGCGTCTGAATTTTGATCGTGTGATCTTGGGATTGCTGCAATGGTTGTAAGTGTGAAAAACATGTCCTCAGCCGCTTTTTTCAGTGCCGCCATAAGTCCCTTCTCTCGTTCCACAACGCATCCCCCATTCTTCCCATCTGATTCTGCCACACCTTGTACCGTCACTTTCTGTTACCTGGATTGTTTCTGTACTTGCAGAAGGCTGAGCTGCCTCAACTGATACAGGTGTAGCGTATACCGGATTCTCAAAGTTTTCGTTTCCTTCACTACTGGAAGTAGTTACCTATTGTCAAAGATAGGTTTGACAGGATTGAAGAACAGACCAACTATAGAATGCTTAAAAGGAAAGGGGACTGGGGAAATGACATGTAAATGGATACTAGGGTGGGGGAATTTTTTTTAAAAAAATCCTCTTCTTACTTTTGATGGAGATGCTACAATCACATCATCAGTTCTGGTGTCTTTTGTAGCATACATAGGATTCTCAAATGTAATTGGCTGCTTCCCAGTTTCCAAAGCAAAGTTCTCATTCTGAAAACAATAGCCGTATAGATTAGTCAAAGGTTGACTAATTTGTAATTTTTTTAATGCAACACATAATGAAATACACAGAAAAAGAAATACTGTGGGCAAGAGGAATGGAAATATTAATCTCACATGGATTAACCTTTCAGCTTTTTAAAAAAATGATAGATTCTTTTGGCATATATTCAGTGTAGCAGGCACGTTGCCATTATTAAATAAAATGAGGCAAGATTATTAAATCAAATCACTGCTCCTGAGTAACTGCAAGCTGACCATTCTATAAATCATTTGCCAGGAAAATAAATAAATGTTTTTCTTCCTCAGCCACAGACACATACTTGCTGGAGGAAGCAAAGTCTTATAAAAACAAATAATTGGAAATAAAAGAGCCAAAGCAATTTCATTTCAATAGGTACCTCACCAGACTTCAAAGTAATTGGCAAATGAACCAGAAATGTAAACCGGTTTATGTCTCATGGCAGAGAAAGGCTTATATTAGGTGTATAGAAATGGGCAAGGGAGTTCAACATTGTTTTATATTATTACCTTCTTTTCTGCTTAATGAGGAACCAACTAGCCAGGGGTATTAAACTCGATCCCGTCGTGAGCCATATCAGAAATTTGATTGCCCTCGTTGGGTGGGGGGGCGTGGCCTGGTCATTGCGGCCAATTAAGTGGGCGTGGCTAGGCTTCGACAGCCCACAGGCCTCATGTTTGACACATCTGAACTAGATGGTAAACAGCCCAGGGTGCACATCCAGCTTCTGCTGGACTTGGGAAACTAGATGCCCTATATTGGCAAGGAGATCAAAGATATCACTTAAAAATGAGCTCCCTTGATGAGCTGTCATGGTAACTGAAGCATTGTTAACAACTCTAATGAGGAAGACCAAAGAGGAATTAATATTGCCACTACCAAGACCAAACCCTTGTTTTGAAATTTGGCAGGACTGAGTAAGACTGATATTTCTTCTTTAAATAGCAAGGAAAGAAAAGTGGGAGACCACAAGGCATGAAGCCATATGCATGTGATCAACATTTTGAATTGGCCTGGGTGCCCCTTGCATTGGAAAAACAGTACTGCAGCCTAAGGGTCTTTGAGTTTCTTTGGCTGATGGCCAAAATTACACATTTAGAATTTTGGGGCACATTATAAGCACTCTCACAAAATGCTGCCATGGGAAATGGCCAACGGGAAAACATTTATTAGAAAGCGAGTTTTTATGGGGACTGAGATTAGTGGGTCTCACCTCCTAAAAGGCAAGATTTAAGAGAGCTTCATTTAAAGATGATGGGGAAAAAAATTGTCTTACCATTTGCATTGCTCTGTCAATAGAAGATTCAGCTCCAAAACCAGCTACATTAATGTCCATTGACACATCTCCCCCAGGTCGGAAAGTTACTCCATTGCCATTTTCCGTGGATTTCACAAGACTACTTAAACTTCAAAGACAAATTTATTTTTTCAGAGAAGGAAGACATTTTAATACATATATAATAGCAATAGCAGTTAGACTTATATACTGCTTCATAGGGCTTTCAGCCCTCTCTAAGCGGTTTACAGAGTCAGCATATTGCCCCCAACAACAATCCGGGTCCTCATTTTACCCACCTCGGAAGGATGGAAGGCTGAGTCAACCCTGAGCCGGTGAGATTTGAACAGCCGAACTGCAGAACTGCAGTCAGCTGAAGTAGCCTGCAGTGCTGCATTTAACCACTGCGCCACCTAGGCTCCTCAACGATATATAATATTGTTAACATATTGTATCATCTTTTGAAGCAGATACAGAAACAGTTGTCCATCAAATGCAACAATTAAAACTGGTATATTTCTTTTTAAAAGAACAGGCACCATATGCAAAAGCCTCCACTGAAGCCTTAGCTGAGATGATCTCTGCTGTCTCTGGGTATAAAGAATGCTTGAATTAGCTGTATATAAAAGAAAATACTACTAAATATTTCTACTATTGTGCCTGACCAACTGCATATTGAACTGTTGGTAAAAAAAAAAATAGGGCACATTCCTGGTGTATGGAATGATCATTATGGAAATGTTCCTTAGACAGGTCCTTGGTTTCCCTGAGGATATGCCATTCTCCGTGAATTTTACAAGGCTACTTAAACTTCAAAGATAAATTTATTTTTTAAGAGAAGGAAAACTATTTTAATACAAGTTTTAACATATATTGTTAATATATTATATCATTATATTATGTATTATATATTTAATACACTGTCCCTTCCATAAGCAAGGTTGAATAGAATCAAGACAAATAAGACTGTGCTAGATTAAATAAATCAATAAAGGTAAAGGCTCCCCTCGGACATATGTCTCCGACTCTAGGGGGCGATGCTCATCTCCATTTCAAAGCCGAAGAGCCAGCGCTGTGCGAAGACGTCTCAGTGGTCATGTGGCCAGCATGACTAAATGCCAAAGGTGCACAGAACGCTGTTCCCTTCCCACCAAGGTAGTTCCTATTTTTCTACTTGGATTTTTACATGCTTTCGAACTGCTAGGTTGGCAGTCAATTTTTGATGAAGATTTCAGTTAGAGCAATTCAAGCAACCATCTCTTAAGCAAGAGTATGTGTTGTGAGTTTATGGTTCACAAAAGAAAAGACCAGAACTCGCAGTAGAGTGCACTCTCCTTTGCTACAAGAGTGGGGAACAAGTGACTCTCTGGATTTTCTTGGATTACGACCTTCATCCCCTCCCCTCACCATTGGTCACAAAGTTGTCAATCACAACTGTGGGATTCCCTGTTATCCACCCTTACTTTAGAAGAACAGCTAATTTCAACTCATATATACTTTGACCTGAATATTGTGGGGCTTTCTTTTGAATTAGTATGTACTGGATTGCATCGCAAAGCATTTGAAAGGGAGGGAGGGAGAGAGACAGAGACAGAGACAGAGAGACAGAGAGAAGACAGAGACAGAGAGATAGAGACAGAGAGACACAGAGAGAGAGAGAGACGCAGAAAGACAGAGACAGACAGAGACAGACAGACAGACAGAGATAGGGAGGGAGGGAGGGAGGGAGAGAAAAAGTGTGTGTGTGTGTGTGTGTGTTCAACAAAGCATGAAAGCTTTTCTTGCTGACCAAAGAGATCATCATGAGCCACGCTTAATCCTACCAAAATCCCACAGGCTTTCCCATGAGACCAGATCCATCTGGTCATGCTGAACAATACCTACCTCGGAAGTTTGGGAAGGGCAGGTAGCAGGGATCCTGTCCTTCTGTAATTGAAAAAGGCACCCACGCCCAGCGCGCCAATGATGATGATCAGAACAACCGTCAATAAGGCAGCCACCGCGGCTATTAGGGGGGGAGAAAAGCATACGTGAATAACAGGGAAGCTGCAGCTGAAACTCAGAGTTGCTTCAGAAGCTACTTAGAAACTTATTTAAAAGGTTTCGGGCCACTGAGTGATGGCTTAGTGGGAAAATGTATTTTAAAGCTTACTTGTCCCAGGAGGAATTCCTCTTGACAGGCCCACTTCGCAGTAATTTCCAGTGTAACCCGAGGAGCACCTGATAAATGAAAGCAAGATGCTTAACTGGAACTGACAGTAGAAAAGTTGGTTGTATTTATTAACAATCCTAGGAATATATATATATATATATATATAGATGGTGTGATTTTTTTCTTTTAAAAAGCAATATCTTGGTAATTATACGTTGGAAGTACAGAGCCACAAACGCAGACATCGAGCCACAAAACAGCTTGCTATTTCTTTGGAAATGAGCATGTTGGAATGCTGAGTCACAATTGATGGCATTTGGGTTAAAAAAGTAATAATAAAGGGGATTTGATTTCAATAGAGCCCCAGTGCCCCCTGCAGGTTCTGCTGAATGTAAAAATGCTTTGATTGTCTAGGTTTTCTTTGCATCTGAGTAAATTGCTTTTAGCTCTTCTGGGTTTTGTTATTTTTAAATCATTGGATTACCAATCCCCATATTTGGGAACTCTTCTTGATTTGTGATAGGACCTGCCAATTAATCACTCCAGATGCTTTTAAGAATGATGTATTTAAAAATGTAACAGATGAACGGAAGTTCCATTGAGGTGGGCTGTCCCTTCCTGAGCAATAATATTTCACTGTCCTTAGCTAAAATGGATTAATCTTGATACGCTAAGCAAGGTTGGACCTGGTTAATACTTGGAAGGGAGATCAACAGGAAATTCCAAGGCTGTGGAACTAGGCTTGGCTCCATGAAGGTGGCAATGGCAAAACTAACTTTTCAGAAAACAAGGCAGATATATGTTTGTGAAATCACTGAGTGGACTTGAAAGAGACTTTGCTTTGATTTATATCATTTTACCAGGATGGGGAATGGGTGCATATTAGAATGCATCCATGCTAAATATATTTAACAACAATCTCTTTCCTATTTTACTATGCAAATATTTTAGATACAGCAAGTGTTCTATTGTCCTCCTAATTTAAAGTGGCACAAACCTATAAAGGGACATAGGAGCATGAGGCTTCTGTTATTAAGGACTGATTTTAAAACACCGGCATAAAAAATGCAGTGGCCAAGCTTTTCAGGCAGCGTGTGATCAGGCAGTGTGAAAAAGAATGCAGGCACAAAGCTTTTTCTATGAGACTGGGGCCTAGCCTCCCAGAAGGGCATCTTAAGGAAGATTTTTATGTTTACGTTTTATGAGATCCCCTTCAAAATGCCACTGGTCACACATCAGTTGCAGATGCAGCTGGTGTACATAAACTATTTAAATGCTTTCCTTTTCTTGACAGTTCTTTTAGACATTCAGTGCGTCAAAGGACCGTAACACATTTATATAGCTCGCAACAATAAAAATAGCAGCCAAACAACAAAATACAAAGAATCGAGTGAGTACAAAAATAGAAAAATAAGTACAAAATCATCACAAGCAGTGCAACAACAAAGCAAAACAGAGACCATCTGCCACCTCTGACCACCATTTTCCTCTTACTATCTGGCTACTTCTGATTTTGTTTTTCATAAAGCTACAATGCTGCATTTAGGTCTTCTGCTTTCACCTTGCTATATATACGGTAGTTTGGAGTGACAGAGGCTATGGGCAACATGAAGTTTGGAGAATGTCTCTGAAATTAGAATGTGCAATTGGCCAAATCAGGCAAAGAATATCAAACTCACCAGGCCTAGCATGTGTGATTGCTAGGGGCACACAGATAGCCCAAAGCCCCTAAATTGTGTATCCTAGCAGCTTCTGCCACCAAAGAAAAAACTGATGCTCAGTTTCCAAAGATCTTCTCTTGGCCTCCCTTGGAAGAAGGAACATCCTCTTTTCTCTCTTTCATTAAGAGGTCCACATGTCAGTCAATCTGCCTTTTCCCAGTGTGAGAGCTTTAGACAACCCGCCATACCCCGCTCTTGTTTGATCTGAATTATGAAGGACACCCTTTCCTCCTCAAGAAGCTCAGGTTATGGAAGATTACTAGCAGAGGTTTGCTTTTTGATGAGCAAAAAAAGCAACACTGCAGGATCTATTTAGGGATCACAGCTACTATCTCTGAGCCAGGAGTAATTTACGGGAAATTCTGCAATCACCCCATTTCTATAGAATATTGTAATAAATATTAAAATATTCATGAGTGGGAGAGACTTGGGAACAAGGTCAGCCAATGAATAGGCACAGCAACTAAATCAGCCAATGGGAGCTTAAACAGATCTGAGTCTGTGCAGGGAATTGAAACAGAAACTTAAGAAAACAGTCTGCTGCTCTGAGAAG